AGCCTCTGCTACTAACTCGCAGATGATCGCATTTTGTGCACTCGACGGATCCATATTATAAATCCCGATATATCTTTTTTTTTCGTAGAAATAGAAACAGTATTGGCACAAAAATTTATTAAAAATGCATCTTTGTTTTAAAAATAACGGAATTTAGAAATGGAAGGGGACTGAGGTTTAACTTTAGCACTATATGTCAGACCAATGTAAAGGACTGGTGTATTTTTTAATTACGACAAGCATTAGGTTCTACATGATAATATTAATAGGATATTTTGAAGATGCTCCAAAAAAAATACTATATTTTTTATATCTCAATATATTTTTAAAAAGGAGTGACTACCGGGCGTATTGATTATACGATGCTTTTTGACATTAGTATACCACGAAAATAATATTTAAAAATAACATGATCTAACTCGAAATATACAGTATTCCAATTATTCATTATCTTTCTCTACTTTGCCAAGAACAACCGGGATAGACGAGCTGGTCGTTTACAACATGTAGAAGCAGAAGAAATTAGGAAGAGCCAGTGGTGTCGTGATGTGTTTATTATTTAAATATTGATAGTTTCTTTAAATTTATATAGTTTTCAAATTTATACAAGAGTTATATTATCGCGTTGGTACATTGATTAACATGACGGCCAAACAAACTTCTTTCGATACAAACCATTTATCTGTTAGTTATAATCTTTGTCATCATATTCAGTATATCATCTTTCTAAATATAATTTTGTAGTACGCTTATGATATTTTTTTTTAAATTCCAACTCATAAAAGTCCCTATCTTTGGAAAATTAATTACGTGTTTCACATTCGTAAGATTTCCAAAAAGTGTCAATAATCGTAAAACGCGGACTGACGAATAAAGACTGTGAAGCTTTATTAAAGTTTCTTGACGTCAATAATTATTGATTTTAAAAGAAATTTAACAAAAACAAACTTCTTGCTTTATCGGTTGAATTTTAAATCACACTGCCTCTCAAAACTTCCTATTTACTTTACTAATTCAATCCTACTTTTATTTAAAAATATTTATCTTTAAAATTAATATTTTCTTGGCTACAAAGAATAATTAATCTAAAGATTAAGATGACGTAGAAATCCCTTCTTGAAGGCTGTAAGTGATCGTTTTCGAGACGGCATGTTTGAACATTTTTTAACTTAATATTTTCCATATTCTACTCCCGTCTCATGAATTTAAATGGGATATCTTCCTATCAACTGAGAGTTTTATGAAAATGACATCCATTTTGAATGCGGATCACTAATAGCTTCTTTAGAATATTATATATTGTACTAAAAAATACAGATTGAGGCCTATACAACAGTTTCCAATTTTTTATATGTATAACAAATGAAAAATGACAAGGATTTTTAAGAAAATTGTTCTATAAGCAAACGAAAATAAAAATACTCAAAACCAGTATCACACGATATTTTTTATTATAATCAACAATGGAGACTACTGGTTTCATCCCAAGAGGCATCATCAGGCATAAAACGAAGAATATAACACCAGTCCCAAAATACTGGTACGTATTAGTAGTAGAAATTGCTAAATATGGCTACCGTGACAGGACACGGTGTTAATGGTATCGAAAAGCTGATGAAGGCGTTAGATCTACAAATGACGTCTTTCGAGAAGGTATATGAAACCGTCATGAATCAATTTCCGCTGGAACAACATGATATCCCATGGGTACAAGGGTACCTGAAACAATGTCTGCACTGGACAAGAAGCTCTTCGATTTCCTGTTAGAAAATGATTCAAAAGATATCGACGTTGATGGTGAGATGGCAACAGCTGATCAATATCACTTTAAAATTTAAGTTAGAAAACTATTTAAATTCATTAACCATTAGGGCTAGTAGCAGTCGATCTAATTTATCATTTCAAAGTAAAATACTCCTACCAAAAATTGAATTTACGAAATTTGGAGATGTTCAAAATTGGCTACTTTTCTAGAGCCAATTTCGAAGACAAATTTTTCTATCTGAACCAAGCAACGATTCCTAATTCTAAAATTGTAGAGAGTTATCCTCTTACAAGAGAAAACTATTTCAAGGCTATTGAAAGTCTAAAATCACATTTTGGTTGTGAAGACTTAATTATAGAAGTTCACGTTAGAGAGCTTTTGAAATTAGTTTTAAATAATCATAATTTTAAGTCTAGATTACCTAAGTGATTTGTATGATAAAATTAAAACTCAACTTCTTTCTCTAGTATCCCTCAATGTCACTTCTGATTAATGCGCCGCAATGTTGTTTCCGTTGATAGAATCATGCTTATCCGAAGACCTTCTTCGAGTTTGGCAACGAAGTTCATTTTTCTGTGCTACTGATTCTATGAAAAAACGTCTTAACCAACTGATGAAATTTATGAAATGAGAAGTAGAAAATGAAAGTAATTCTAAACAAAAAAAACTTCTCTATCTTCTTCTAATTTAGTACCTACTGCAGCTACATTAGTTAACACAAAGTCATTAAAATGCGTTTTCTGTTAAAAAGAACACATCAGTGTGGATTGTCCAACTGCTCTGAAACTTTTGTATGTGGAACGTAAGAAATTATTGTCGTCTAAGGGTTGTTGTCATCTATGTTTGAAATTTGGGCACATAGCAAGGAAATGCAGATCACCGGTTCAGCTTAAATGTAGTAATTGTGGTGGAAAACATGTATTGGTCATGTGTTCTCATTTAGAGGAGACTAGAAACTCTAGAGAAGTTGAAACTAGTCCTCAAATAACAGATAATCTTTCAAATCATACTTCTTTTGGTCAAGTCTTTTTGTTAACATTGGTTGTAACTTTAAAAGGCAAAAATTGTGAACGGCAAGTTCAAACAATTATTGATCCAGGTTCTCATTGGTCTTATATCAGAAAGTCTACTGCGATTTCAATGGGATTTGAAGCATTAGGGTCGGAGGAAGTTCTTCATTCACTATTTGGGGGTTTTAAGTCAGAATAAGTTATTAATCACAAATGTTACCATATTCCTGTAGGAAGTCTTTACAAGAAATATTCGTGTAGTTTTGATCTGTGGTCAGATTGAACTCCTTTTTGGAGCTGATTTGACTAGTTTTTTCTTATCAGGTCCTACTCATCGATTAACATATGGATTAGTTGCTTTTCAAACACCTTTAGGATGAACTATTATGGGAAAAGTCGTTCTCAATATCTTCATTATTATGTTTCGATGTTCAATAAATCTCTCTCTTTCTGATATGTGGAATCTAGATTTTATTGGTATAAACGATCCTATTGAGGTACTATCTAAAAAGAAACACGAAGTATCTGTTTTTCAATCTTTGTCTGATACTGTTTCAAGAGATGAAGATGGACGTTATAGAGTCGCTCTCCCTTTTATAGGTCATCCACCTTTGCCTACTAATTTCGAGATGGCAAAATCCAGATTGGATACTCTCATGAAAAATTTAGATAGAGACGGCTACTATAATGATTATAACACAGTTTTTGAAGAATGGTTGTAATTGGGAATAATAGAGGAGGGACCTTTTGAGGAATTGGGTGAGATTCATATACAATATTTATCCCATAGATATGTAGTTAGACTTGTTTAAAGACTCTTAGTCTTTACGTTTTCTGCGATGCTAGTAAATATGCTTATTCATGTGTAGTATTTTTAAGGGTAGAGTCCGATGTTGACATAACTGTTCGATTTGTACATTCAAAATCAAGACTTACTCCTCTTAAGAAGAATATTTCTTTGTCACGTCTAGAGTTGTTAGGGGCTACTACTGCATCTAAATTATGGTCATCTATTATAAACAATTTAAATAACATGATAGAATCATATTCCTGGACCGATTCCTCAACGGTGTTGGCCTGGATCAATGGTACCGACAAATGGAAACCCTTTGTACATAATCGAGTACAAGAGAAAAAAAAATTAACCTATAAGGATTCCTGATATCATGTCCCCAGTACATTGAAACCTGCAGATTTGATAACGAGGGGATGTTCAGCAACACAGTTGTTAATTTCAAAGTGCTAGGAGGGGCCTGGCTGGTTATATGAAGATCGTTTGATTTGGCTTTCACATAATTTCGTTGTAGAAGAACATCTTGTACAAGCAGAACGTAGGAATATAGTAACCTCTCTATTGGTTCAAACTAAGATTGATACGTCTTGGAGTTTTAAGTATTTCAGTAAATACAATAAAATTATTAGGTTGGTAGCATGGGTATTTCGCTTTATTTTTAATCTTAAACATCCGGAGAAACGTAATTCAGAATATTTTTTATCTACAGAAATCGAATATGCAGAACTGGCTTTAACCAAGTTCGTTCAACAAGAGTGTTTTCGCAGTATAGAAGATATTAGTAGAGTGGTCCCAATTCAAGATCAAGACAGATTTGTCAGACTACTATTTAACATCAGTCTCCATTTGATAAATTGCTAACAGGTAATAGTTAAAAATTGCTAAAGTACGTTTTCCCTCGAAATCACCGAAATCACTATAAATTCTTTCAAAATTTCCGAAATCATGATCGAAATCATCACTAAAATCACTTAGAAATCAATTTGTCGCTTAGAAATATAAACGCAAGAGCTTGTGGATCAAAAGGCAGCAACTTGTGGATCAAGAGGCAAGGGGACAGTTTAAAAAAGTCTACCAAAAATTAAGTACTTAAAAGGCTCTCAAAAAAGAGGAAATTTTATACAATGATTTCGCCGAAATCACCAAATCGTATAAGTCTAATCTTTTTTATTTGCAAATAATAACATTTTTTAAAAGCTTATCTTAATGTTACTCCAATAAATAAAAAAATAATTGTATACTTGGCAAGGAATTTAATTCAATAAAACCGTTTCATATAATTATTTTTAGTAATAAAATAAAGAAGTTTTATACCATTGAAAGAATGGCAAAAATATTATTTTTTTTTAATTGAAAATCAGTATTTATATTTTTTTGAAATATCCGATTTTAAGCAAATATGATATCTGAAGAGCAAATTAATTTAAACCATTTAAGTTGCCATTCTCTCTTTGACTCTCATCACACCTCTTCTTCTCATAAAGTTTCCCATAGCGTTTACTCGTCGATAAAGTGGATCAGACGCATCATACGCTGGTCTACAGGGTCTTCCATATGTCATGGAAGTAACAACAGGGAATGGTTTATTTATTTCCTAAAAAAAATTATTTTTCTTTATTAAAATATAAGAAATCAACATTAAACTAATAATTTTAGTGTTTTTAGCCTTCATTTAAGTATTTGTACTACTTGGGGAGTTCTTTCTTGGAATCAAACCGTGTTATTTGTTCTTGATGCTAGTAAGCTATTTATATAAAGATAGCTGCTGACCAATTGACGGCTTTCTTAAAAAACACGCGCTCTTGCCAAAGTCATGTGCATAGCGAGATGAGATATATATGTAGTTTACAATATTTATCTTGAAAATTAATTGATTGCTGTCGTGCTTAGAAAAAGACATAAAGTAAAAGTGTTGATTGTAAAAGCGATAAAGGTTAAAGCGTAGATTATAAGAAATAACTAAATTTTGTATTTAAACACTGTATGGGGTTTGACTAAAATGTTTGATATTATTTTTATAGATATCTCCGTTGTTTTGAAAGATACGAACATAAGTTTTAAATACATAATATATATAGAGTATTTTAAAATTATTTCGTAATATACAGGGTGTTTCATAAAGTTACAGCGTACCAAAGTTATGTTTTTTTAGTGAAACACCCTATATGTTATCCCGAATTTGAATTTTGCTCATTTTCCCTATACCAGCAATATAGGGTTTTATCAGGTTCTACTGGGTACTTTTAAAGAAATGGTCACTTTTATGTGAAAATCTTAAGAAATCGTCACTTTATATTATTTAGGGTTAATATTTAAAGGCCAGAATAATTTCGTAGTAGTCTAGTTTTGTTGCAACTCATCATATTCATTTTGTATACAGGGTAACTCAAAACTAACGACCATGATTTTCTCGGTTATTTCCAATGGAATACCCTGTATCTTATATCATTTTCATAAACTACTAACAAAATATTTTTACTTTTGTTAACATTCCCTATACCTAAATGTTACAGTCGTAGAGTTTTTTCGATTTTTAATAATAAAACGTCCATACACTTAATTTATTTTTTAAAAAAAATTGAAAAAAAAATTTTGTCCAAAAAATAAAAAAAGATGAAAAAAAAATTTGTCAAAAAAAGTTTTTGTCATACACTCAATATACTTCAAAAGCTGGCCAAGCGCATGTCATACTTATAGCTTTAGATATACTATTATTAGCATGTCAATGGGGGGTAGCTGGAAAGATTTTACCTATTCGAAAAACGTATAACGTGTCTATACAAAAACAAATTACAAAAATTGTAAAACAAATTTTGATAAAAAAAATTTTTTTTTTTTAAATTTTGTTCATGCACTCTAATTTTATAATTGTAGATATACTATTAACATTAACATATGGTGTCGCGATCTGGAAAGAAATTACCCATCGTAGAGTTGGCAATTGACAGCTTGAAAAATACGTTGATTATAAATAATCTAAAAATAAAAAATAAAACTACTAATTTTTTAACAAGACCATCATTAATACTAACAGAAGAACAAAAAGATGAGACCATCAAGCGTATCCTCTACGATTGCTCGACACCTTCATTTATTAGGAGATTTGTGTTCGGCGAGTATCGGCTAACACTGGCCGATATAAGAGAAGCACCTCTTGGCAACGTTGTCAACTACATTAAATCTGTAGGCTGGCTCACGAGCTAGGAGGTGCCTATCATCTTAGGAGGATGCACAATGGACCTAGTGAAGTCTAGGGGGTAACCCACCCTCCACACGTTACAGATATAGAAGATAACTGAACAAAAAAATTCTAAATAGTACTTAGAGCAAAATAATTACAATAACTGAGTGGTGGGTGGCTCAGTGATAGAGTCTCTGTCTGTGGATCCATGGGTCTCCGGTTCTAATCCCACCGTTGTCCGGGATTTTTTTATTTAATTTAATTATTTAAAATTAATTTTGATGTCTTGGTAGGATTCCCCACTCGACCAATCACTGTTGGGTTCTAATTAACAGTGCTGTTCCTAAAGTGGCGCTGGGAAACAGTAACAAAGCCTACACAGAATACGAGGCTAGTGACCTTAGTAGTCGATGCCGATGACAACAAATTAAAAAAATTACAATAACTACTCAAAATGACCTCCCATTACATTTAAACAAAGTTCTATCCCATATTCAAATGACCTCCTTACATTTCTAACCACTGGAATACCAACGTTTTGGAAAACCACCCTAATTCTATTTTTCATATCCTTTCTTGTAGTTTTATACACCTCATTTTTCACATACCCCCACAGAAAAAAATTTTACTTTTGTCAGATCTGGCAATCTAGCTGGCCACTCAATTGGGCCTCCCCTACCTATCCATCGTTCTGAAAATTGATAATTAAATTAACCATGAATTACTACTGCATTATGATGTATTGAAGCCCCATCATGTAGATACCACATATGCTGACGTATACGAAGAGGAACATTTTCAAAAAGTATAGGCAACTGATTCTCCAAAGAGTGGAATATATTAATACTAAAAACGTAATCTCGAGTGAAAAATTTTTGAAACCTCCCTGTCATTATAAGTGTCGCCAAAAATGCAACCAAAGGTTTACAGAAGAACGAAAAAATCTCATATGAGATTAGGGGAGGGGGAGGGAGTTTAGGAAAATCTTACAAAATATCAACAGCGGGGGAGGGGGGTCAAAAAATAGTCAAAAATACTTCACGTGGTATTATATTATATAAATTAATAGTCATAAATAAATTGTAAATATTGTGTTTTCATTACAATATATTATACTTTTAGCGTTTGTATGAAAACTTACCTGTTGAAAAATATTTTCTCTTACATCGGGAACAAACAATCTATTTTCTTTATTCTTTCGTTGGTCCCACAACGGGTATTTTTTCGTATAAGCAAAATACAAATCGTATTCTTTTGCTCGGGTATGCTCGGAAACATTGTTAAAGTAGGTTAATTTCTTGGTCGAATCGGGTCTTGGCGGGTTCTAAAATTATTCAAGAAGTGCAATTATCAAACAAAAGTTTTTCCACTTAAAAGTTTTAATTTTTAATGCTCTCCTGGGATGCCTACTTTGTTGATGAATGAAGTACTTATCTGTAGAATAGAAACAGATCATCTACTGGGAGGAGCGAAATATTTGATGAGACTGGAGTCGTTAATAAAATAGCAGCAAAAAAGAAAGTCTATCAAATTTTGTCAGGCTGGAGATGGAAAATTTTCCTTATTTCAAGAGAAACATCAATTTTCCTATAATTGTATTAAACTATCAATCAATAGAAACACGTAATAATGACGTTGACTAGACACAGGCGTGTACTGCAGACCTCTTTGTCGCCATTTTTTTGCAGTTTCTCTCACATTTTTCAGTATTGGCAGCAGACTCATATATGGCATGATGATCTTTAATCTCACATTATATCGCTTTCTTTAACTTTCTTACGTAAGGGTTGAATGTTTATTGGATGAGAAACATGGATAGTTTTGTGTCACCATTTAGTGATAATTTCAGAATAAAGGTTACTAGAAGTGATAGGTCTTCTTGCTAAATGATTTCGATTTGGTGTTCTAAAGATATGTGAATAAGTTTAGAAATAGATGAAACCTCAACTAAACTGCAATCTATAAACTAAACCATAATTACAAATGTTATTGGTATAAAGTACAAATGTACATATTATACAAAACCTAAACTAAAAGCCTAAAATATTGTATTAAAAAATGTTTCATTACCCAACAGGTGTCTTCTAATTTTGAGGTAATCGCATCATAATATGCTTTCACATGATTAGGATGATGCCATTCTGCTGGCATCTTTGTAATATATATTTAAAATCACAAAAACTCAAATAAAATGATTGAAGTAATTTGACATTACAATGTCAAAAACATTGTCAGAAAACTTACTATGGTAACATTTTTTTAGATACCAGATTAATAGACGAGGAGCCCTTGAAAAAAAATTAAAGCCTTGTTATTGTTAACATTTTTGTTATTACCCTTTATGTAATATGGTCAAATATCGTCCCTCGGTCGTCTGATTTACGTACCTAGGAGAGACCCGGGCATAATGACATACTATGTTTGTTCTCTACAGCTTTAGAAACAGGATCCTTTATTATTTTTTTATAAACTTTATTTAGAACAAGTTAAACGTAATTGGTGACCTAAAATCATTTTGCCCGCCCTGGTTGGGCAAAATGACATACAAACAAAAAAAATCAAAAACATATTAAACCCGTAAATAAAACAAATACGAGTAAAGTGAAAAATTCGGTGAAAAATATAGTAAAACTTTAAAACTTAGTCCTTGCAAAGGTCACACATGAACATCTTCACGTTTTTGGAGTGTGTCCACTTTTAATAATGTTGACATTGTAACCAAGTTTCCTTGCCTTTGGATCTACTGTATAAATCGTTACAATAGAGACATGGACAGTCCTCTTCGTCGTCACTAACACGATATGGATCTTCTTCTTCTTCTTCACTAGTTTCGTCTGCCATCAACATGACCCTTGCAACAGTTCTCTTACTTTTTCTTAACTGCTCCTGTTTTCTTTTATTTTTACTTTCTTGGTCATTGTCTACAAGCTTCCTTTCAACAACGTTTCTTTTGATCCTTCTTAGTCCAAGGGTAAAGAATGAGACCCCCTCATACTGTAACATAAGTGGTGGGTGGTTTCTATTCGCAAAAGGTCGGAAAGAAATGAAATTTGGTGGGATGGTAGACATGGGTCCCCTGATACTACACCTAAGTTTGCGACCTCGGAAGTTGCCGCTATGTACGTAGGCTATACCACAAATAGGATATTCATGACAACTAATGCACAAAAATAATAAATTTGGTGCCTAGGTCAACAATAATAAGGAAATATTGATTGTAGATTCTGATAATTACAAAATCTTTATATCGGAGTATGTAGGGGCGCGCTTCAAAACATCATAGTATTTATTATATACGATCAAATTTATTAAATCAGGCATCTGCAGACACAGAAATCATTAGTCTTTTAGAAAAAAAATATTACATAATTGTTTCATAGCAATCTTCGTCTTAATCCGCGCTGAAATTCTTATTTTGTTGAACATTGCAAATCAACCCCCTACTTTGGCGCGTCGTAGAGCGGGAACTATTGGTCGCAGGTAAAAAAATGTAGAGGTCAAAATTGTGCATATTTCATTTGAACTTTTTTTCAATAGCATTTACCACAACGGCGTTATTTCCCGAAAAGCGTCGCAACGCAGAGTTTTCATCCCTCCACCCCTCGAGCGGCAACCCCATGAGGTCGCAAACTTAGGTGTAGTATCAGGGGACCGATATCTACCATTCCACCAAATTTTATTTCTTTCCGACCTTTTGCGAATAGAAACCACCCACTACAATATTCATAAATTAATTTTGAATCTAAATATTCTAAATAAAGAATTCGGACAGGTACAAGATCGATTTGACCGAACTAGTGGGGGATACCTAAATTCTCTACCAAAATTGGTTCCAGATACCAGATATCTAGCTTTTCTGTTTTAAGTGCCATCAAATTAACTGGGCCTAACGAGAACCTAGGTCCACCTAGGGTCCATCTAGATCCACCTAGACACACATTAACACTTTGGAAATAAAAGATTTAGAACACTCTGAAAAAGATTTCGAAGAAATTAAAGACGGAAAGGATCCCTTTCTTCCTGCAGGAAGAAAAGAACAACATCACCAGCTGCAGAACAGCACCACTACGGATCTTAGAACACCGGCCTAACACCAAGCCCTGCTTGCTTCCAGAGAGACCACCCAGCCGACGTCGTGGAGGTTGAGAAGGGAAGTTCCGTAATATTTCTTTAACTTACATATCACCATAGAGAGAGAGAGAGAGAGAGAGCTTGTATCTTAGAATAAAAGGAATAAAATACTATTTATTTGTTATTTTTTTTATCATTTACCTATTGACCCACAATTGTTGTGCACATTATTCAATTTTTTAGGTTCACCGAAGGTACAGTTGGTATTTTCTGTCTCTAAAATATGTGGCGTCCTTATTTCTTGTTGCCCGTCCTTTTTGTACTAGTTACTAGTAGCAAAATTCCTCTGTGAAGCCGAAGCAGTGAGAACTCACTCCCTTTGAGCTAGTTGTGAGCTTACAGTTGAATTTTCTTTTTGCATTACCTTATTTAGTCAGTTAAAATTAAAATATTTCTTTGTTAAATTTGTTACTCGTAAAATTTCTATATATTTTCTTTTCTTCTCTTTTTTTTTTTTTCGTTTCTTTAATAATTATTAATGTTAATTTATTTTTCACAAAAAAATCAATTTCCTTTTTTTTATTATTTCCTTACACTTGGACTATTCTTCTTTGTTCTTATTTCTTCTCGATTTCCTTTTCTCGAATGCTTTGAAGATATGGACTTTCGGTTAAAATACCTTGGTCTTACATTTGCGAGTTTTTCTTATGTTGCTCTGAGGAACTGGTGACAATTCTTGTAACATACTTTGAATATCGACCTCTTTTGAAGAGCACGCATGTGCTTGATCCTGATATACTATAAAAGTTCGTTGTTCTTGCTCTCTAGGTTCCTATTCAGTATTTGCTTCAGGTTCTTTCAGATCTAAATTTTCGTTAATGGGTTCTCCTTCTGGGGCAGTCACGTCCGTTGTTAATCTAGATAAAAAGACGTGGTCAGGAAAAATATTCCCGTGGCACGAAACGCAGATGCTGCAATTTCGAGTGTAGCTGTTCTTTCGTAGACGTAGTTGAAAAGTTTGGCTATCTGATAAAGAGTATTTTTATGACCTGGATTTTCTTTTAACCAGTGAGTAACAGCTTGGTTGTAATATTTGTGTAGGGGACTGAAAAATTCCACGTTCAATGGTTGTAGGCGGTGTGTGCAGTGTGCAGGAAGGCACAGAAGAACGACTGAATTTTGTTTAGCAAGTTCTAAGGCCATGTAGCTCTTATGTCTAGAATGGCCATCCAGGATTAACAAAGCTTTTTCTGAAGAGGGCCTTACGTGATCTATAAAGTGTTTCATCCACGTTACGAACAAATCCCCGTCTGTAACCCGTGTCGTTATAAAGTTTTAAGGTTCCAATAAGTGTTCCATCGTATAAGTCCGGATTGAACCTTTTTCGCGGAAAAATTATGGATGGCGGTCCCTATGACGTCCTTTTTGGATGTCCCAAAGATGGATGGAAATGGGACATTAAAACGTCCATTGTACGTCCGATTTGCGTCCCGGTACTAAAAAAGGACGTCCCTCGGACGTCCTTCGTCTTTCAAACGTCCATAAGACGTCCGTGTGTTATGTGCAATGTCCAATGATAAAAAGTTTTGTTAAACTGCTTTTAACTTCTTTCAACGTCTGAGTATATAACAATGTATTTTCTATTAATCTTGTCTTAGTACCTTTTTTGGCAATATTCTATAGCTATAGATCAATTTTTTTGTCGTCGGCGCCAATTCATAAAGAATACGATCCTATGAAAGGAGTTATTTCCAGTAACGAATTCTACAGCTCGTCTTCCATGAATAAAGAACGCCCATTTTACGAGTCAAAATACATATTTTCCTTTTTATCGCCAATATAATTTGCTTTGCAAATAGCGGTTTTGAGTATCACCATAATTTTAGTAATGCATCTTTCGTATATTTTGTAATTGGTTATTTCCAGTGATAAAATTCATGTTTTTAGGTGAACATAATCCTGAAACTCAGCAATAAGAAACAAATTGGCAATTTACATAACTAATTCACAATTTTAATACATATTTTTTAGTGTATGATACTTATTTCTCATTTTTTTGTTCTGTTAGTCTAATAATTCAAAATTTTATTTGTGAGAAGTCCATAAATAATTTTTAATACTCCGTGGTCTTGTTTTTTGCCAGCAAAGTAAGTTGAGAATTTACGTATAAACTCTCAACGCCAAACAATCTTGAGTTATCGATTTTTATTATGGCTCTCCACTCTCCAGTAGGGCATGCAATCCCGGAACGAGGTTAAGCGTTGGAAATTTCAAGATCAAAATTGTCAAGATTGTCCGTGTCCATATTGTGAATATTGAATATGATTTAAGGACGCCACAGCACTTCCGGTTTTCGATAACACGATTTAAATTTGAATTTTAGTTCATCCTTTTCTATGTAGATGTAGCTACACTCTTTAACCTCCATATTTTGTCCATTATATCGCAAAAGTAATATATACACAATCGTACTTTTATTTTATATTCTCAGTTAAGTTGGTCTGGTAGAAAAGAACTGGCAACACCGCATATTTGTAGAAATATATTGTTAGGCAATCTACCAATTCTATAGCAAGGTTTTTCTCGTTTATGGGGAATTAAATATTTAAGTGACCAATTAGGGTCGCAGGTACCTACTTGGGATAAATACTTATCGTAAGAATCTGTTAGTGGCACTGACATCGCATCAGGGCCCCCGCTACCATATGTGCAAAGTGTGCAATGCACACGGGCGCCATCCTTCAGAGGCGCCAAAACTCAGGGTACAAAAAAAAATAAAAATTAATTTTAAAATAAAAGTTGAGAAATTAAATAGGATTAGGTATAAATACACACGAAATTTTATTAGTATATCACCCAGTTACTGCCGATTCCTATGTTGCGAGAACATGTCAGGCGGTAGTTTCTTGATTTTTCCTGTTCAGATATAAATAATGCCTGGAGCGCTATAAAAGCGATGCATCGCCAGAGGCGTTTTTAAACCGGTTAGTTCACTGGACCGTGCAACAAGTGCATAAAAACAAGCAATCCTATTAATTTTTATATTTAAAGTTATTTTTATTTTGTCAAGTGTTGTGTTGTGTGATCTTTTAATTAATTAAAATATAATGTACGAGTTTAAAAAAGTAATTAGTTTTTTTATCTATAACTCGCTTAGTTTTTACATATTTACATAAAATTATAAACTTTTTAGGTAAATTCTATTTATTTTACAAT